CCCCAAAACCCCAAAACCCCAAAACCCCTAGACCAAGATTTTTGAAGAAAATAGATTATTTTAGAGTGAATTCACATTATATTATTGTAATAATTAAAAATAATCATAAGATAAAGCTAAAATTGTGAAGATGAGTCAATCAGATTAAGCAAAGCCAGACCAACCAATGAACTTAGATATACATTCAAAGGTATGAATACTTAAAGCATTTTTTCCTCTCAATTTCTATTAAAAATCGCTGAAATTTATTAACTTATATAGGTAATTAATAATGAGGATTCAAAAATGTCTTAAAATGAAGAATTAATAATCAAGGATTTTCACCAATCAGATGAATTTCAATATTCCCAAAGAGGTATACATATTCGATATATAAATGAGACCCAAATAGAAGAACCATAAAAGTTGAAACTATTCCGATATGCAAGATAAGGAAAATAAGAGGAGTTTGAAGAAGAAATTAATAAAGAGCCTGATTAGCTAAAGCATGGAAAATGTAAGTTCACTCTTAAAACTTCTGAGTTTGATAAATTACCTGCATTATCTAAATTGTGAATATAGATTTTAGTTCAACTGATCCTGAGCATAAGAGTATCTTACATCATACTCTCTTGAATGCTAATGATGAATTTTTGGAATATTTACTTCATAATTACTATCATTTTGTTTGTCCCAATTCAGCTAGGTCTCCTGCAGATTTTAATTCCTTTGAGCTTGATGGAAATTATACTTTGCATTTAGCTTTAACTCTTGCAGGTTATACTTAATTTTAATAGAGAGCCATTAACTGCGTTAAAACCCTAATAAAATATAATGACTAAAATATTCATTAGCTTGATATTGTTTTTCCTAGGATTAACATTGATAAGCAAGATAGACTAGGTAGAACGATACTACATTTATCCGCTATGCATGGTTTGGATGAGTTAGCATAGATTCTATTAGAAAGAAATGCAGATTTAAATGTTGAGGATTTGGATGGTCATTCACCAATCATCTATTCAATCGATTTCAAAAGACCTAGCATATTTCAAATGATTATCAACAAGGATCAAGGTTAATCTCTAAAGTTGGATAATAATGGAGATAATCTAAGTATAAGAGCAATTAAATAAAATTCCTGGGAATGCTTTGCTTATTTATCTTAAATTTAAGATAACATCTAAATTGATTAAAAGCTTTAGTAAATAGCTATCAATTGTGATCTTAGTCAAGAATATGAAATAGCATCAAGTATGTTATTATAAAAATCTAGCATAATAGATTAAAACATCGAGGCTGCTATGAAATAAATCCATGATTTACAAAAAAATAAACCAAAAACCTTGATAATAACAGATTAAAGATATCTTCAGCACGCGGGTTTCGAAAATTATTAAAATGTGAAAAGGAGGGTAAGCTAGAAAGATCGTTAGCCTGAAAATGCAGAGAGATTAATGGTGATGATTTAAAAGGAAAAAGGAACACTTATCGCAAGTGAAGAGTTTACAAATGATTAAAAGTTTACCTAGAGAACAGTAACATAAAAAGCTAAAGAAGGTGATGTGTTTAGAGTGCATGATTATAATTACTTGATGAAAGTTATTAAGTAGACTGAAACTCTAAAAATCAGAGGTGATAATTTTGATATTAGAAGATTTGGTAAATCAGTTCTATACTAACTTTTCCTTAGATGGCGACACTGTTTTATCTGCAGACTCATGGGATTGCAGTTTACTCTCTTGTGGTGCGGTGATAGAGGCTTGTGATAGTATAATGAAAGGTGAGACTAGAAATGCATTTTGTGCTGTAAGACCACCTGGACATCATGCTGGTATTTATGGAAAGACCATGTAATAAGCTTTACATTAACATTTATAATATAGGCATCATGAACACTCATTACTTTGTGATTAAAACAAGCTAACTAATGGTTTTTGTTTCATCAATAATGTTGCAGTTGCTGCATGCTACCTCAAAAATATGTACAGAGAAAAAATAAAGTAAGATCAGCCTTATTTTATTTCAATATTAGGAAAGTAGCAATAGTAGATTTTGATGTTCATCATGGAAATGGAACATAGGAAATAGTAGAAGCGTTACTTCCAAAGAAATTTGTGGTGAAGTATAACACTCCGTTTTCTGAGTTACAGGAAACATAATATTAATGCAGACCTTGGCTGGATCTCGAAGATGCAAAGAATGTTTTGTTCTGCTCTGTTCATCTATTTCAAGTGTCTGACCATGAAATAAAGTTCTATCCTGGCACTGGAGATTCTGAAGGTATCTATTTTAAATAATAAACCTTATCAAAATATTATAGAAAATACTAAAAACGATAATTCAATTTATCCAGGAGGAGTCCTGAATGTTCCAATGACACCGAGGAGAGCATATGGATATAAATGGATGTCTAGATTTTAAAAAGTTGTTTTTCCTAGACTTTTGGAATTTAATCCAGATTTCATACTGATCTCTGCGGGTTTCGATGCCCATGAAAGAGATCATCTAAATCATTCTGACAAAGCTAGCACTTCTATAAATGAGTTTTAATATTAATGGGTCACTGAGAATTTACAAAAAATAGCCAATAAATGTTGTGAAGGTAGAATGGTTAGTGTGCTAGAGGGAGGCTACAACACTAATGCAGGTCCAATTTCACCACTTGCATAATCGGTAAAATATCATGTTAGGGCCCTCCTCAGAACTAGTAATGAGAAATATAATTTAAATGAAGATTAAGAACAAATTGAGAGAACAAAGAGGTAAAAATTAAAGTAACTTAGACACCCACAGCACTTAGAATAGCATTCATACTAAGTAAAATTTGACTGAGATTAATTATTATGTTAGTTGAGAAAAAGGACAGTAAGAGACTATAATGTGGAATTAGATCAGATTCTGAAAGAATAAAATGTAGATTAAGGAGAAGATGCAGCTAACTAAGTGAGTGAGCTCTAGTATTTACAAGCTATCAATCAAGAATAAATGGAAGAATTAATCTGAAAGATTGTTAATGCCTAATTTTACTTATACTTATTTTTTTCTCATGTTATAACCTAATTTCGCTATTAGGGGTTTTGGGGTTTTGGGG